TTATTAAAAGTAGTATATTGTTAACTATTTAAAAAAATTTAAGGCCGCAACCTACATCCTAGAGACAGATTTGGTTAGTATTTGGAGGATTCTTTTCCCAGTAATTTTTCTCATAATTGTATAGATGCATTTACGTAAGTATATCAGTCTGCTCAGGCTGCAATGACAAAATACCATAGACTGGGTAGCTTAAACAACCGAAATTTATTTTCTCACAGTTCTGGAGGCTGGAAAATCCAAGATCAAGGTTCCAATAACGTTTGGTTTCTGATGAAAGCTCTCTTCCTAGCTTGCCAATGGCCATCTTTTTGCCGTGTCCTCATGTGGCTGAGAGAGAAAGCTCTTGTCTCTCTTCCTCTTCTTAAAAGGTCATCAGACCTATCAGATTAAGGCCCCATCCTAAGACCTCATTTAACCTTTATTGCCTCCTCACAGGCCCTATCTCCAAATACAGTCACATCAGGGGTTAAGGGTTCAACGTATGAATTTAGGGGGGACACAATTCTGTCCATAGCATTCTGCCCTCCAGCCCCCCAAAAATTTATGTCCTTATTACATGCAAAATACATTCATTCCATCCCAACAGCCTCAAAAGTCTTAACACTCACTCCAGCTTTAATTCAAAAGTCCAAAGTCATATCTAAATATCATCTAAATTAGTTAAGAGTGATCTTGAAGTAAGATTTACCCTGAAGCAAAATTCCTCTCCAGCTGTGAACCTGTGAAACCACACAAGTTATGTGCTTCCAAAATACGATGGTAGGACAGACATGGGATGGACACTCCCATTCCAAACTAGAGAAACAGGAAAGAAGGATGACATGACAGGTCCCAAGCAAGTCCAAAACCTAGCAAGGAGAATTCCATCAGACCTAAGGCTCAAGAATAATCCTCTTTGGCTTGATGTATTAATATCTGCCCCCTCAGCTTTTCAGGAGCTGCACTCTCCGCAATGGCCCTACACTCTTACACACAGAAGGAACAGGCTTTCCCCCCTGGGCCTGTGGTAAGGGTGGCAGCCCTTATGATCTCTAAATCACTTCAGGAATCATTGTTCCTTTTCCTTGAAAAACAGTGCACATTCTCAGCCAAATAGTTTTATGGTCCAGTCCTATAGAATTCAAGAAGTCCAACAACCTTCCTTCATTCATCTCTCTCCTCTTGCATTTTACTATAAGCAGTAAAGGGAACCCACATCACATCTTCAATACTCTGCCTAGAAATAATCTCCTCTGCTAAATATACAATTTAATTGCTCTTAGGGTCTACCTTCCACAAAAACACTAGAACACAATTCAGCCAAGTTGGTTGCCACTTTGTAAGAAAGGATCACCTTTCCTCCAGTTATTGCCTTACCAATATTATTATTATTTCTATCTGACACCTCACCAGAATGGCCTTTAATGGCCATACTTCTACCAACATTCTATTCATGATTATTTATGTATTCTCTAAGATGGATGCTTTTTGTCTAGTTCTCCTCTTTTCTTTCTGAATCCTTACCAGATTCAACATTAACATCCATATTTCTACCAATAATCCCTTCACAGAAATCTCAGCTTTTTCTAGCATGCACCTCAAAACTCTTCCAGCCTCCACCCATCAACCAGTACCAAAGTCACTTTCACATTTTTAGGTATTTGTTTTAGCAGCACTCTACCTCTCGGTACCAAAATCTTCAAGTAGTCTGCTTGAGCTGCCACAACAAGATACCTTAAACTGAGTGGCTTAAACAATAGAAATTTGTTTCTCATAGTTCTGGAGGCTGGAAAGTCCAAGATCAAGGTGCTGGCTGATTCAATTCCTGGTGAGCACTCTCTTCCTGGCTTATAGATGGCCACCTTCTTGCTGTGTTCTCACATGGCAGAGAGAATGAGCTTTGGCATCTAGTTGTCTTCTTATAAGGTCACCACTCTTATCAGATTACGACCTCATTTAACCTTTATCACCTCTTCCCAGGCCCTGCCTCCAAATATAGTCATATTGGGAGTTCAGGCTTCAACATACGAATTGGGAGGGGCGCATTTCGTTCCATAGTTTTAAGTCTTAAATTATATATGTACATATATATGTGTGTGTGTATACATATATATACACACACCGAGTGAGTTTTATATATACAGTTGACCCTTGAACAACACAGACTTGAACTGCACAAGTCCATTTATGTGCAGATTTTTTTCAACCAACTCAGAAGGAAAAAAAAGTATTTGTAGGATGTGAAACCTGCATATAAAGAGGGCCAACTTCATATAGGCTGGTTTAACAGGGCTAATTAGGAGACTTGAGTATGTGTGAGTTTTAGTAAACTCACAAAGTCCTGAAACCAATCCTTCGTGTACACTGAGGGACAACTTGTACTACTTTTTCTTAGTTTCATGAAAATGTTTCTATTATTCAAAGCATAATATTAAATAAATGCATAATATTCAATCTTATAACTGTTATTTACTGTTTAACAACTAAGTCATTTTCAAATTTGTTATTTAAATAGTTCTGCAATGAACATCTGCATGTACCTATAGTCTGCTGTGATTACCTAGGATAAATTTCTAGAAATTCAACTGTTGAGTCAAGTCTATTAATATGTTAAAGGCTCTTGGTATGTATTGCAAAATTACTTCCCAGAAACCTGTACTAATATATATTCCCATCTGCAGTAGACATTTTAATTAGAATAAAATATTTTTCTAATTGAAAAAAAATATCAGTGTCAATGACCAAAAGAGCAAGGATTTTATTATTAAAGAGCCAGGTCAGTAAATGAAATGTGTGGTTCTGGATTAGATCACAGTGTGAGGGAAAACTGGCTAAAAACATGTGGGGAACAATTGGGGAATTCTTAATATGGACTGTATTTTAGATAATATTGTACCAGTGTGTCTTGATTATGATAATTGTATTTTGGTTATGTAGACTGTTTTACTTCACAGGAGAAACATGCTGATTTGTCATGAAGTGTGCAACTTACATTCAAATGATTTGGAAAATACCTGTATTTTTGTGTTTGTGTAGAGTGACACAGAGATAGGGATAGCAATATGAGACAAAAATAAGAAGGCAGAGGAGGGAAAAAGGGAAGGAGCAAATGTGGCAAAATGTTAATCACTGATTCTAGTAAAGAGTAATGAGTGCTCATGGTACTGTTCTTTCAACTTTTCTACAGGTTTAAAATTTTTCAAAATGTTTATATATGAGGGAGCAGGCAAAAGAATGGGCTATTCATAAAAAATTAAGTAGCTAGCAAACATATGAAAAATGTATGAGAATTAATGAAATTGCTGATTTTTCTGGCTTTTTAAAGATCAAATGCCAAGAAGGCAGGAGGAAATAATCACTTCAACTGCATTTCATCAAATGGGACCAGGAAGGAATGGAAAGTGAAATCTCAATCATTCCACTATGCTTGTCATTAGCAGTCCTGAAAAAAAGTTTAATAGATGAACACGATCCAAATTAACTCATTACGATGAATTTTAGAAAGGACCTATAGACTTTAGTTCACAACCTGGTTTTTAATTCAGATTTTTCTTGCTTCCTGTGACCCTAAATGTTTGACTCTAAACAGTAAAAAAAAAAAAAAACAAAAAAACCCAAAAATAGTTAGTAATAGGTCATACGAAAATAGATTTTCTTTAAATAAAGGAAAATATGTTAATCTCTGCCATCGGTCTTAATTTTATCAGGAAAGTACAGAATGAAAGGCAACCAATGAATTTATAAACCATGAATGGAGGTTTTCCTTCTTAGAAACAATATGAAGGAAGCGGTATAATACAGAGATTCAAGGTACGGACTATGAATGTCTCTGTGTTTAAACATTTATTAATATTTCACCACTTACTAGCTATATGATTTCTGGCAAATTCCTCAATCTCTTTATGCCTCAGTTTCCAATGTGAAAAATGGGGACAACAGTAAAATCTATGTCTTAGGATTGTTATGAAGATTAAGTAAGTTAGTACAGCATCTGACATACTGCAAGAGCTCAATATATGTTAGCTGCTATGGTTCTTATTATTACTAGTATTACTACAACAACTGCTACCACCATTACCACTATCTTTAAACAGCAGTTGATGGAGTTTGGCATTTGATTCAGAAAAACTATAGTGACATAAAAGAAGCACCACCGCGCGCGCACGCACACACACACACACACACACACACACACACTCTGCAGGTTGAAAAAGTGAAAGAGAACAGACTCTAAGTCAGTCCTTTAATGTCTCAAGCTGTTTGGGGAGGAAACTGAGAACACTCAGTTTACATGAAGAAAAAAATGTTGACCTCTGCTACTGATCTTACTTTTATCAGAAAGGTGGCCTACAGAATGTACAGAATGGAAGGCAACCAATGAATTTACAAAGGTAACAATATGCCAACAATGCGTGGCTCATTTCAAGGAGGAATATGTGATCTGGACAAACTAATCTCAAGAGAAATAACAAGGTCTCTCACTCAATTAATCATTTATCAAATTGTATTGAGGTTTAACCATACATCAGGTGTTGAGCCAGACACCAGGAATACAAAATGGAAGAATGTCTACATCTTTAAAAACTGTGTATTTTTGTCAAAGAAATATACATGAATAATATGATGGATATACGCACAGGGTATGATGAAGCACAGAGGAGAGACACCTAAGCAAGATTTGGGAGAAGGAGGAAACAGCAGGAAGATTTCCCAAAGGTGATGACATTTAAACATAGCCTTAAAAAATAACATTAGGTATACAGGGATAGAGGGGTAAGAGCTAGCAAATGGAGGAAAAAAAATGAGCACCTGCCTACAGTAACACAAAACCAAAGGACTTTTTCCTAAAGCTAATAGGCAAATAGCCACTGGAGGAATATGCGTGAACAGGTGTGCTTCTGGAGTATCTTCTGTTTAAACACACTACATTGTTACCCTCCCCAACTCAAAATAAGCCAAGTTTAGAGAAGGGACAGAAACCTGCAATTACCAGAGGTTCAGAGACAAGTATTCTCACTTACAACACTGGGCGGCAGCAGTGGGCAATGGCTTCCTCTGGCTTTCTTCTTGAATAGAATACTAGAAGCAGAAAGGAGAAAAAAAAACATATATAATAAGAGGCCAGAGTAAAGAGAGGGAAAAAAATCACAGCTACCTAGAAAAAGATTTAGTGTTTAGGGTCAAAATCTTTACCGAACAGAAACAGTACATCCTGCTATTTTCCCTGTGTGATCCTGACATAAAGGCCAGACTATCACTTATGGCACTGGCCCAATAAAATAGGATAAACCAGGATAGCAAAAAGGCTATTCTGACCAAGCACACCTGGGCACCCACCCGGCTCTGCCAGGTAGCCGTAGAAAGCTTGGCCTTATAAGTCTTATAATATTTCCCAGTCCTCTGAGTTTTCCTGTGGCTAATTCAGGTGATGGAGCTGAAAACCTCTAAGGCTGAATTTTCTCATCTTTAGTAACAATGCTTCTTCCCTTACAAGGTCACATGGGAAGTAAGTGAAATTGCTTACCTAAGCATGTGGTGCAAAATCTGGTACCAACTAGTTCTCTTCACCCTTACAATCTAGTCATTGCAACCTTACCCACCACCACCACAAAAACAAATATAGGGTACTGAAGCTGTAAGAAAATCTTCTGTAAAAGGGAGCAGAATTAAGTGCAAATCTTGAGGATGGGCAGGATTTGGAAAGGCAAAACAGAAAGAGAAAGGTATAAACAAATTAACAGAGGTACACAGACTCTGGAAGACAGTGAGAACAGTTTGGTGAGAACAGGACTGGAAAAATATAATTTGGCCCAGCAACTTGGAAACATGAGATTTGGAGTTCTCATCCTAACTCCACCATTTATTAATAAGCTGTGAGATTGTGGGCAAGTCAGAGCTTCTTTAAAGTACGAATGAATGAGTCATTCATTCAACAACTACTGACTGAGTGTACACCATGTGCAAGGCCTTATTGTAGGCACTGGGGGAACAGAGTTTATAGATCATGGTAAGGAGTAGAGACTTTATTCTAGTGTATTAGAAACCATTTAGGATCGATTTGATTACACTTTTAAAAGCTCACTCTGGCTGCTATGAGATGAACTGTAGGAAACAAGAGGGGAAACACCAATTACTGCGATAATCCAGACAAAAGTTGGTGGTGGTGTACGTAACACTCATGAGTATTAGTGGTGAAGGGCATTTCAAATGGTTGGATCCAAATATAAAACACTTTTTTGTATAAAAATACTTTTACACGTAACACAATTTACAAGCAATAAACTATGATACAAATTTCAGAAGTAGATACTGTTATTACTACTTCCAACAGAGAATGATTAGAAACCAAACACAACTTATATTATATGATAGTATTAGCAAAGCTACCAATCACAAAAATGTTCAAAACTCCTTGAAGGTCAAACATCTACTCCAAAGTAACAAAGGGACTTGGTTATAAATAATAACTGTTATAAATAATGATGATTTTTGTAGGCAGTACATAGGCATAACAGTGAGAAAAATCCCAGAACTTTAAGTATTAAACTAGAACAATTCAGACTTAAGAGATCAGAGTAGATATTTTCAGAAGCCATATTTAATGACTCTGTTACAGGCTCAAAGCAGAAAGTTGAAGTCTAGCTAGAGCATAATTAACTGACTGCCACACTAGAAAAAAAAA